GCTGTTTAGCGTATCGCACGGTTTAGTGCATTTCAAAATCAATCGCGCTGTTTAGCGTATCGCACGGTTTAGTGCATTTCAAAATCAATCGCGCTGTTTAGCGTATCGCACGGTTTAGTGCATTTCAAAATCAATCGCGCTGTTTAGCGTATCGCACGGTTTAGTGCATTTCAAAATCAATCGCGCTGTTTAGCGTATCGCACGGTTTAGTGCATTTCAAAATCAATCGCGCTGTTTAGCGTATCGCACGGTTTAGTGCATTTCAAAATCAATCGCGCTGTTTAGCGTATCGCACGGTTTAGTGCATTTCAAAATCAATCGCGCTGTTTAGCGTATCGCACGGTTTAGTGCATTTCAAAATCAATCGCGCTGTTTAGCGTATCGCACGGTTTAGTGCATTTCAAAATCAATCGCGCTGTTTAGCGTATCGCACGGTTTAGTGCATTTCAAAATCAATCGCGCTGTTTAGCGTATCGCACGGTTTAGTGCATTTCAAAATCAATCGCGCTGTTTAGCGTATCGCACGGTTTAGTGCATTTCAAAATCAATCGCGCTGTTTAGCGTATCGCACGGTTTAGTGCATTTCAAAATCAATCGCGCTGTTTAGCGTATCGCACGGTTTAGTGCATTTCAAAATCAATCGCGCTGTTTAGCGTATCGCACGGTTTAGTGCATTTCAAAATCAATCGCGCTGTTTAGCGTATCGCACGGTTTAGTGCATTTCAAAATCAATCGCGCTGTTTAGCGTATCGCACGGTTTAGTGCATTTCAAAATCAATCGCGCTGTTTAGCGTATCGCACGGTTTAGTGCATTTCAAAATCAATCGCGCTGTTTAGCGTATCGCACGGTTTAGTGCATTTCAAAATCAATCGCGCTGTTTAGCGTATCGCACGGTTTAGTGCATTTCAAAATCAATCGCGCTGTTTAGCGTATCGCACGGTTTAGTGCATTTCAAAATCAATCGCGCTGTTTAGCGTATCGCACGGTTTAGTGCATTTCAAAATCAATCGCGCTGTTTAGCGTATCGCACGGTTTAGTGCATTTCAAAATCAATCGCGCTGTTTAGCGTATCGCACGGTTTAGTGCATTTCAAAATCAATCGCGCTGTTTAGCGTATCGCACGGTTTAGTGCATTTCAAAATCAATCGCGCTGTTTAGCGTATCGCACGGTTTAGTGCATTTCAAAATCAATCGCGCTGTTTAGCGTATCGCACGGTTTAGTGCATTTCAAAATCAATCGCGCTGTTTAGCGTATCGCACGGTTTAGTGCATTTCAAAATCAATCGCGCTGTTTAGCGTATCGCACGGTTTAGTGCATTTCAAAATCAATCGCGCTGTTTAGCGTATCGCACGGTTTAGTGCATTTCAAAATCAATCGCGCTGTTTAGCGTATCGCACGGTTTAGTGCATTTCAAAATCAATCGCGCTGTTTAGCGTATCGCACGGTTTAGTGCATTTCAAAATCAATCGCGCTGTTTAGCGTATCGCACGGTTTAGTGCATTTCAAAATCAATCGCGCTGTTTAGCGTATCGCACGGTTTAGTGCATTTCAAAATCAATCGCGCTGTTTAGCGTATCGCACGGTTTAGTGCATTTCAAAATCAATCGCGCTGTTTAGCGTATCGCACGGTTTAGTGCATTTCAAAATCAATCGCGCTGTTTAGCGTATCGCACGGTTTAGTGCATTTCAAAATCAATCGCGCTGTTTAGCGTATCGCACGGTTTAGTGCATTTCAAAATCAATCGCGCTGTTTAGCGTATCGCACGGTTTAGTGCATTTCAAAATCAATCGCGCTGTTTAGCGTATCGCACGGTTTAGTGCATTTCAAAATCAATCGCGCTGTTTAGCGTATCGCACGGTTTAGTGCATTTCAAAATCAATCGCGCTGTTTAGCGTATCGCACGGTTTAGTGCATTTCAAAATCAATCGCGCTGTTTAGCGTATCGCACGGTTTAGTGCATTTCAAAATCAATCGCGCTGTTTAGCGTATCGCACGGTTTAGTGCATTTCAAAATCAATCGCGCTGTTTAGCGTATCGCACGGTTTAGTGCATTTCAAAATCAATCGCGCTGTTTAGCGTATCGCACGGTTTAGTGCATTTCAAAATCAATCGCGCTGTTTAGCGTATCGCACGGTTTAGTGCATTTCAAAATCAATCGCGCTGTTTAGCGTATCGCACGGTTTAGTGCATTTCAAAATCAATCGCGCTGTTTAGCGTATCGCACGGTTTAGTGCATTTCAAAATCAATCGCGCTGTTTAGCGTATCGCACGGTTTAGTGCATTTCAAAATCAATCGCGCTGTTTAGCGTATCGCACGGTTTAGTGCATTTCAAAATCAATCGCGCTGTTTAGCGTATCGCACGGTTTAGTGCATTTCAAAATCAATCGCGCTGTTTAGCGTATCGCACGGTTTAGTGCATTTCAAAATCAATCGCGCTGTTTAGCGTATCGCACGGTTTAGTGCATTTCAAAATCAATCGCGCTGTTTAGCGTATCGCACGGTTTAGTGCATTTCAAAATCAATCGCGCTGTTTAGCGTATCGCACGGTTTAGTGCATTTCAAAATCAATCGCGCTGTTTAGCGTATCGCACGGTTTAGTGCATTTCAAAATCAATCGCGCTGTTTAGCGTATCGCACGGTTTAGTGCATTTCAAAATCAATCGCGCTGTTTAGCGTATCGCACGGTTTAGTGCATTTCAAAATCAATCGCGCTGTTTAGCGTATCGCACGGTTTAGTGCATTTCAAAATCAATCGCGCTGTTTAGCGTATCGCACGGTTTAGTGCATTTCAAAATCAATCGCGCTGTTTAGCGTATCGCACGGTTTAGTGCATTTCAAAATCAATCGCGCTGTTTAGCGTATCGCACGGTTTAGTGCATTTCAAAATCAATCGCGCTGTTTAGCGTATCGCACGGTTTAGTGCATTTCAAAATCAATCGCGCTGTTTAGCGTATCGCACGGTTTAGTGCATTTCAAAATCAATCGCGCTGTTTAGCGTATCGCACGGTTTAGTGCATTTCAAAATCAATCGCGCTGTTTAGCGTATCGCACGGTTTAGTGCATTTCAAAATCAATCGCGCTGTTTAGCGTATCGCACGGTTTAGTGCATTTCAAAATCAATCGCGCTGTTTAGCGTATCGCACGGTTTAGTGCATTTCAAAATCAATCGCGCTGTTTAGCGTATCGCACGGTTTAGTGCATTTCAAAATCAATCGCGCTGTTTAGCGTATCGCACGGTTTAGTGCATTTCAAAATCAATCGCGCTGTTTAGCGTATCGCACGGTTTAGTGCATTTCAAAATCAATCGCGCTGTTTAGCGTATCGCACGGTTTAGTGCATTTCAAAATCAATCGCGCTGTTTAGCGTATCGCACGGTTTAGTGCATTTCAAAATCAATCGCGCTGTTTAGCGTATCGCACGGTTTAGTGCATTTCAAAATCAATCGCGCTGTTTAGCGTATCGCACGGTTTAGTGCATTTCAAAATCAATCGCGCTGTTTAGCGTATCGCACGGTTTAGTGCATTTCAAAATCAATCGCGCTGTTTAGCGTATCGCACGGTTTAGTGCATTTCAAAATCAATCGCGCTGTTTAGCGTATCGCACGGTTTAGTGCATTTCAAAATCAATCGCGCTGTTTAGCGTATCGCACGGTTTAGTGCATTTCAAAATCAATCGCGCTGTTTAGCGTATCGCACGGTTTAGTGCATTTCAAAATCAATCGCGCTGTTTAGCGTATCGCACGGTTTAGTGCATTTCAAAATCAATCGCGCTGTTTAGCGTATCGCACGGTTTAGTGCATTTCAAAATCAATCGCGCTGTTTAGCGTATCGCACGGTTTAGTGCATTTCAAAATCAATCGCGCTGTTTAGCGTATCGCACGGTTTAGTGCATTTCAAAATCAATCGCGCTGTTTAGCGTATCGCACGGTTTAGTGCATTTCAAAATCAATCGCGCTGTTTAGCGTATCGCACGGTTTAGTGCATTTCAAAATCAATCGCGCTGTTTAGCGTATCGCACGGTTTAGTGCATTTCAAAATCAATCGCGCTGTTTAGCGTATCGCACGGTTTAGTGCATTTCAAAATCAATCGCGCTGTTTAGCGTATCGCACGGTTTAGTGCATTTCAAAATCAATCGCGCTGTTTAGCGTATCGCACGGTTTAGTGCATTTCAAAATCAATCGCGCTGTTTAGCGTATCGCACGGTTTAGTGCATTTCAAAATCTGCTCTTGTCAGTAACATATTGAGACCTTCAGCAACCAAGTTGAACAGGAAGGGGGACAGAGAGTCACCTTGTCGCAGGCCCCTCTGAAGACTAAACTCATCAGTTGGAGACCCATTTACCAGTACTGAAATTCTAGCCGTACTAACACACTCCATAATCCATTTAACCCATCTTACCCCAAATCCAAGCTTCAGGAGCATAGAACGTAGGAACCCCCAGTTAACTGAATCGTACGCCTTCTCAAAATCAAGTTTAATGATGACACCCTGTTTCTTGGATTTCCTCCACCCATCTACCACTTCATTGGCTATCAGAACCCCATCTAATATGTTTCTCCCTCCTATAAAGGCTGATTGGGTCTCACTAATGATGTAGGGTAGCACTTCTTTTAATCTTCTTGACAGGACCTTAGATAGGACTTTGTATACTGATCCCACTAAACTGATAGGCCGATAATCTGTTAATCCCACAGGATTTTCCTTCTTGGGGACAAGAGTAATAAAGGAGCTATTCAAACTCTTCACCAATCTGCCATTCCTATAGAATTCCATCATAAAATTAAGAACTTCCCCTTTTATCACCTTCCAAAATTTTTGGAAGTATAACATGTTGAAACCATCTGGGCCAGGTGCCTTATTACCATCACAATCCTTCACTGCTGCCAGAATTTCTGATTCTGAGAACTCAGTTTCCAACCCATCAAAATAGGGGCTGCTACTCACTGATTTGAATAGGCCTCCCAAGTTAGGTCTTAACATCCACTCCTCCGAATATTACTTCTTGAAGTGTTCAAAAATTGTAGACTTCATTTGACAAGGATCCTCAAGCACTGAACCACCACAGGCCATGGATGTTATTTCATTTCTACATTGTCTACCCTTGGCCATCACATGGAAAAATCTGGTATTACGATCCCCTTTCAAATTCCAATTCAGTCTTGATTTTTGTAACCACGTCCACTCCATCATTCTATGAAGTCTCCATACCTCTTCAGAAGCTGCTCTTCTTCTATCTTTCTCTTGTTGATCCAGCTCCCTGCTCTCTGCTTGAAGATTAAGGATATGAACTTCCTCCTCTACTGCTTTCAATTTGTTAGGCACAGACCCATACACCTCCTTATTCCATTGGCGAAGCGCTAATTTCAACTCCTTTAGTTTTTTGTGTAGTATGAATCCAGCCCAACCATTAGGTTCCGTCTCCTTCCAAACTTTAGCCACAAAGGATGATAAATTTGGATGTAGACACCAAGCATTTAAAAACCAAAACAGCTTTAGACCCCAATCCCTCTCATCTTCCATCAATAATAGTGGACTGTGATCTAAAATGAACCTAGGTAATCCCCATAGTTTTAATTGAAATCCCTCCAACCATTTCGGATCCACCAACACCCTATCTATCCTACTCCATTTGACCCCTTCCCTGGAATTACACCAAGTGTACTTTCTACCTAATAAAGGTAGGTCTTGTATTTCACTATTCTCAATGAACTCATTGAGCTCAGTCATATCCCTCTCTCTTCTGGAGCATCCTTTCCTCTCACCAATATTCCTAATTTCATTAAAATCCCCACATAGACACCATGGTTTAGAAAAACCTTGCTTCAGATTAAGCAAACTATCCTAAAGCTTTCTTCTACCACCCACATCATTCGGTGCATATATATTCAGTAAAACACACTCAAAGGAATTAAATATTGTACCTGATAATAGTATGAGCCGTCTACTACTGCAACATGCACCAAGTTGAAATACGTCTGGGTCCCATATGCATGACAAACCTCCAGTTGTACCTTCAGAATCCATTGACATGAACTCCATTCTATTCCTCACCCACATTTGTCTGACTTCTCTGTTTGTAATAGCAGCTTTCTTTGTTTCTTGAATCAACACTATTTCTATATTTCTGTCCTTCACCAACTTCCGAATCTTTCCCCGCTTCTCTTGCCTTCCAATTTCTCTAATATTCCAACTCAATATCTTCATAGGAAACATTATTAGACTCCAATGGAATCCCACCTCCACAAACACCCTATGCAGTAGCCCCATTTCCCCCCCAAGCTTCTCCTTATCCTTTTTTTCCAGTTCCACTATTTTGCTAAGAACTTCCTCTTCTGTACCATTATACTCCACACCCAATATTTTGCCTAACTGTACTGTTGCTTCAGCTTCATTAAGTATTCTTCTTCCTCCAACATTCTCATTCTCAGTAAATGACGATATTGAGGCTTCTACAGCTGTTGCTCTCAACAGTGCATGCTTTGGAACTGCTTTACTTGTTGAAGCACCCTTATGACCATATCTCCTCACAAGATCAAAAAATCCCCTTCTTTGAGGTTGCTACCGACAGTGGGTTTTTTTTTCTCCCTTGTTTCTTCCCTTTCAGCTTTAAATTTGCATCACTGTTGCTAATACTTATTTGGGTTTGAAACCCACTTGACTCAGTAAGCCCAGTCTGTGGTAGATAAATCCCTTTCAGCTTTAAATTTGCATCACTCTTGCTATTATTTGTTTGGGCTTTGAACCCACTTGACTCAAAAGGCCCAGACTGTGAAGGATGAAGCCCACCTAAAGCATTACTTCAACCTGGAGTGCTATACCCAGTTAGGCTCCTGGGTCAGGTCCAACAACACTTCTAAATTCACTCCAGGTTGAAGTAATGTAGGCCCACTTAAGCTTTTCATCAACCCAGGCGTGTATACTTGATCATCACAATTCTGACACTTTTCTGCACAGCCGTAATCCAGCTTACCGACTGCCATCTCGAGCTCCTACCCCAGTCTTTCACTAGACGTTGCAACTACTGTTTCACTCCTCCCATGCACCTCATGTTCTACCTCAGTTCTGTTCACTGGTCCATATGGCATGTCTCCTGTTCCCATGCCATCATTTCTTCCAAGAACCTTAGCTGACTCAGCTGCCCAGTCATCTTCATCTTCTCCATCTCTGCTTCTTACCTCATAGACTTACCTACCTGTTCATTGGCACTGTACGCATCATCCAAGTGCAAATGCTTCTTACAAACACATGTCTCTCTTATTGTTTGAACAACCACCCTCTGTTTTTCACAAACCCGAACTGGGTATAGCACTCCTTTAAACTCTATATTAATTAGCTTATTTATTGGCTCCATGTATTTAGTTGAGATCTTTATCTTTCCACAGTTGAACAAGAGTGGCTGGCTTAGCTCTCCTTCAGTGCAGAGAATCTCCCCCCATAAATTCCCAATCCTATGCAAATTGGTTCTATTCCACAAGTTTAAAGGGATTCCATAACAACTTAACCATACACACCGTTCTTGTTCTGGCACTTTCCCTATTTCCCCTGTGACTACCTCTTCACACCAGTCCTCAAACATCTCCTTTACATCCTTCACTTTTGATTTCATCTCCTCTTTTGAATTGAAAGTTAGTATCCGATCCCGTCCTCCACCCTTCCTCACCACAACTTCCTTCATGCCTTGTGCTTCAAGCTCCATCTCCATATTTACAGAGGCATACTTCGCTTTCAAATGTAGAATCAGACTCTCATATAACTATTCATTGCCTATTTCCTCTGCCTTTACTGTAACAACCCCCATTCCACCAATATTCTCCCCTTTTACTACCTGCACATACGATCTCTGCCCCACAAACTGATTCATTCCTTTACCTGAGATACGCCATTGTGGCCTTTGTACTCCTTAACTCTTTGCATGTGGATTCATATAGCCTTTCTCTTGCCTCTCCTTGCCAAAGTCAGCACTTTTTACCACTAGGACCTTGTCATCCACCTACAAACCATTAGCTTTTTGCACTGCAACACTTGCTGTTACTTGACAACCAAATCTCACAAAGCCAAATCTAGAGACGATTAATCTTCTTCTCTTTTGTGGAATGAAGACATCATTCACCACTCCAAACTTCTTAAACAAGTTGTACAAACCCTTAGGATCCATGCTTCGTGGCAGGTTATCCACAAATAGTGTGTGAATGCCTGGATGATTATCTTCTCTCCTTGATCCTTGCCCCCCTCTTCGCTTCACAATGGGGATCTAACCTCCTCGATCCATTGAAAAAAAAAAGTGCAAATATAATTTTAAGTTAACTGAAAACCCAATTGATTATGCCATTTTAGTTCAACCCTACTAGAATAAAAAAGGTTTCCAAAATTTTGAAAAATATAAAGGATCAAATTGGTGGTGAATTTTTAATTAAATTAAAATATGATTTAATTATTTGTGGTTTCAAAATTAATTGGTTTTAAACATTTTAGTTACACAATTAAATTATGTTTTATTATCAACCATCATACAAATTTAATTACTAAATAAATATATGACCATTTTATTAATTATTGGGATTAGTTTCGTTGATTACAAAATTTTCTATATAAACTTATCTTTCACGAAAATTTTGCAAAGAAGGGAAAAGAAATAAAGTGATATGAGATAAAAATAAATAAATAAACAAATAATAGTTCCTTCTATGTTTGTATATAACTTCTTGATTATGTGGAAACTTGATTCTTGACTTATTCATATGCTCCTAATGAACGTTATCACTTATGTGGAAACTTGATTCCCGTCTGTGCCTTCATGTGAAAAGAAACAATAGTCTTAAGATGGTGACTATACCTTTCTTAGTCGCTCACAGATTATATCGCTTGTTTCCATTATTTGTGTTGTTTTACCTTATTTTATTTGCTTGCCTATTTGCATATTAGTTTAATTTGGTATATATAATTTCTAATCCATTTGTGAATTGTATTGCAGGAGTTCTAACCAAAATCACATATAATCGAACTGACAAAATGCTTTTTGTTGTGTACATTTTATCTTATTGTTTGTTTTTGTAGAAATGAGATATTAGCATGGTATTTATCTAGGGTGGGAATCGTGCTGTGTCGTGTCGTTTTCGTATCGTATCATATATCGGGTTCTTGTTCAAAATAATCTAACACTAACACGGCTCAATTAATTAAATGTGTCAATTATCTTAACACAAAGCTGACCTACTTATAATCGTGTTAATTCTAACACGACACGCTTAATATGATTAGTAAAAGTTTATGTTTACCGCTTATTTTAAAAATATAACTTGTTTCATATCACATACATAAGAATAACTTGTTTAAACATTGACACATAATGACAATATATATGCCAATATCTATGAAAATAATGAGAAATATTCATTACTAATCCATTACACATTACCCATCCAATTTAAACTATTGTCACTCATTAATATTTAAATATCCAATAACATTTTAAAAGCAAAACAAGTTTTCATCCAATATCAAATTAATAATAATAATAATAATAATCTTGCAGCTATACCATATCCAAAGCAACATTGTTGTGATTCTTTTACATGGATTTATCATTAATTAAGGTTGCACTTCATTAGGTATATATATTATATAGAGATTTAAGTTTTAATCCAACGGATGAGATTGAATTACTCAAGATCTTATTGTTACTAAATTCATATTGTATTTGGGTTACATGCGAGTCAATAGTATGTTCGTGTCAACGTGTCGATAGAAATTTTTATGAGGGTCAAACGTATCCATTTCGGGTTTCACGTGTTCAACCCAAACACGACCTATTTAATATTTATGTTTTCAAGTCGTGTCATAATTGGGTTCAAGTCAGAAAATGATTGTGTGGTCGAAAGTCAACACCCACAATTTGGTTGAATAGATGGCAGCTCAATCTATTCTTCTAATGCTCTCCAGCTGAGTTCCTCATTTGGTTGTGTGGTCGGAAATCAACACCCGTAATTTGGCGCCATCTGTGGAAACTTAAGGAGAATAGATGGCCAACAACGGGCAAGAAAAGAAAATTGGGGATGACATCCACAGTGAGGAAGAAGAACATGTGGATCCTAATGTTAGAAAAGAAAACCATAATGAGAGAGTACAAGAACCGAATCCTGAGGCAAATGATGCCGGCAAGGGGCGTAATGGCCCGAAGAGGGGAGGCCGAGATGAGTACTACAATGAAGGTGACCTCGAGGTATGGAAGGATAGATGCCTAAGGAGGGATAAAGAGATAAAAGAAATGGCAAACAAGTTGACGGACCTGCAGATTGTGGTCAACTTCATGATACAGAACAACGTGATGCAACTATTGTTTCCATTATAGGAGACACCGGCTCTAGCAACCAAGACTGATGCCTTGAAAGGAGGACAAAATACAGTCCTAGTTATCTCGCAGCATGGCAAGGGACAAGGAAATTCACATCGGCTATATCAAAGGATGTCAGGCGTACAGAGTCAGTACGAGGCAAGTCGCAAAGGACATCGCGGACTAAGGGAAACTATGTCAAGGGATCTAGCAAGATCCAAGGGCAAGGCATCCGTTTTGATGCAGTGGACCAAAGGAAGTCCAAGAGGATGTACAATTTCACAGGAGCAGCACACCGAAGAGACTGAAGTCTATTAATAGCCGAGCTCTCGGTAGAACAAAGGAGGATATGAGGGATTACTTCCAGAGAAAGAGACTCAATGCCAAGATCATGTCC